AGAGGGCGGTGGGATGGATGAGTGGATGGATGGACAGCAGCGACGGCCCAGGTGGACGGCGGCGGGACTGTGACGGTTGGATACCTGGTGGGCACACTTCCAGACTCCAGTGGGTGACTGCCCGGGTTCCAACTGCTGCGGTCCGCGGATTGGCACACTGGGTTGGTTGGCCTTGGCCTGTGGTGGTTTGTGTGTCGCTGATTGACTACGCTCTGGCTCTGTTTCTGCACAAATTGTGGGTGCCAGAGCTGCTGCTGCTGTTACGTTGGTGCTGTGGTCGGTGGTGCTTTCGCGCGGCGCGGTGGTTGCGGTGCTGATGGTGCAGATGGCACAGATGATGATGTGAGGGACCGACTGACTAGGAAAAGGCAATTTGTGAATTGAATGCAAGGGGGGGCATAAAATGGAGACGGGGGTGTGAGGTGTGGGTGGTGTGGATAAGGATTGTGCTGCGGCTGCTGCTTCTGATTGGCCCGCTGGGAGACAGCAGGAGGGAACGAGGGAATGCGCTTGTTTGGTCTGACCCAGAGACAGGACACCGCCGCCAGGGAAAAGAAGGCGAGGGAACCCAGGGAGGGGAAGCAACAACCAGGCAGGTGCAGCCCAGGAAAGCAGGGGTGGGGAACACGACAGGACGCTCCGGCCAGGACTGGCAAACAGGACAGGGCACCACAACGACAGGACACGACGCCAGGGAGCCAGACCCGATATCGACACAACCTAAAAGACACCCGGACAGTTCGATGTGAGCGTGAAAGAGTCAGGTCCTTCTTGATTGCCGCTCTGTTGCGAGAGAAAGGCCGATAGTGGACGTGTCAGAGCGAGGGCGTGGATGCGCCGTATCCAGATGCTAGACGACGCAAAGCAGAACGTCGGCAACGGCGAAGACAGCGACGGCGACAGCGACAGCGGCAGCGCACTGAACTCGGAAAGGGTATCTGGGATCTAGAAAAAAGGAAAAAGAAAAAAAAGTCAGAGGGGACCCTCAAAGACCCCGAGATGGGACGCACGCTGTTCCTCCCGGCTCCCGCTCTGTCTGTGTCTGCGTCCGTGTCTGGCCTGTCTGTCTTGAGTGTCTGATGGATGGATGATGAGACGGACGGGGGAACTCGGTCTGTAGCAACTCGCAGCCGGGTCGTTGGCTACGCTGCACTGCGTGTTTTATCGCCGCCCCGAAAATAGAACGGGACAGAGGGTGGGCGCCCAAGATACGGGACACAACACAGCTGCAGTGGAGATTTACCTGGAGGGATTCCCCTTTTCTTCTGGTGATAGCGGACGGGGAAGATGGAAATGTGTGAAAGAGATTCACAGAGGAAATCCGGAGCGGAGGTGAGGGCGGATGAGCGAGGAAAACACTATGAAGCATCTGACGAAAAGACACGGCCCGCTCGTGCTCTCGCTCGTCTTTGCGCCATAAACAACAGGCCTTGCTGTCGATCTACCTTACTTCAATCATGTTTTGTTTGTAAGGGTTTCAACAAGTGTCTTATCGACAAACCTGACTAACAACCCTCACTCTGACTTTCACTTTCACTGCCCGTAAGTACTTTACCCAAGCCGACTTACCCAACCTGCTTAGGGCGGCAGTAAGGTTCCTTAGTGAGGAGGAGCCGGGGAAAGCTCGTGGTGTGTTGCCATGTCTCTCTCCTTGACCTTGGGGTGTGGTAAACATAAAAAGTCAGAGAGCTAAGGAACCTAGAGGCGTGGGAATGAACCCGAATGCCTCCAGCTTCTGCTGTTAATTAGTCCCCTTCCGCTGGGGTCGGGGCCTCCAGCGACTTCAACGCTAAAGCGACAGTGCGCGCGTCCACGCTTCTCCGGCCTGTCTGCTCCTGCCAACGACATCAGTGTGTTGCTTGCTTGATGTGAGGTGCGCTTCCCGCCGTCAATTCCATGGACCCGTGTTGTTGACATCCGCGAGAGGCAATGGCGTCGGCTGGCGCATTTTCCCATCAATTCAACAAGACCCAAAATGACCTGACCGTCTTTCCTTTCTCTGACGAATGCAAACAACTAAAGAAATCCTTTATTTGTTGACAACAGTCTGTTGTTGTTCGCTCCCACCGCCACGTCCTTCTTCTCCACGTCCGACTTGGCGGACTCGCACCTCATTCGTCTGGATAGCGGCGCTGCCATTCCGGCTGGGCTTGAAGATGCGGTCTAAGGTAGTGTCCACGACAGAACAGACACCGACTTCCAAATACCCCATCAGCATCAGAGTTTCCCCCAGCCAGCCGACATGAAGCCGCAGCCCAGCGATTTGGGAACCACCTGGGATGACATGAAAGCTGGACCCTTAAACAGCAAGGGACGGCCATGCTTCTGCATTGCTTCTTATGCTTCCACTGCCGTTCTTCGCCGCCTTCTCCTCCTCGCTTCGCAATCGAACCCGTCCGTCCTTTGAAGGCAACCTGACATCAAACACTCTGATCCTCCATAAGCCTCTGAGGCCTCGCATCTCGCAGTTCTTCGGGACGCCCTGCGACCCTGATGACGGCCGAGGCCACGCACGCGAGGACTGAAAGGACGGGTGGGTGGGTTCGACACGCGCTAAAACCATGGGTGGCCGCTTGAAATGCGCCACGCCACCCGACGTGCCCAGCTTTTGCCTTTTGCCATTTCTGGTTTCAGACCTGAAGATTGCTAGCGAGGTACAAGTCCCGCCAAGTGCCATTCGCTGAGATGCCCCAAGTTCTGTTCAATAAACCAATCCAATCGCCCCGGCATGCTGCGACCCTCCGCGGAAGCAACATCCAATTGCTCCGGCTCACCGGCCAAGGTCGCGACAGCTCAAGTACCCGCTTATTGCTGCACATCCCTGCCTTTAGCAGAGACGTCGATATCGCATCAGGCCCCATCCCGGGAGCCGAATGGCGCCTTCTGGCTTTCCTGGGCGAAACGGATCGATGTGACCGCAGCTCTGCAGCTCGGCCGGCATGCTGCATCTCGGAAGCTTGGAATCTCGGGGAGACCCTCTTGGAATCTGCTAAATGACGAGACGATGTTTAGTTCATGATTCAGTCCGCGAGACAAACTTCTGTCGATGCGGGACGTTTTGCACCGCAACTACCCTTTTGACCTTCACGGCCAGCTCGGGTTTATCGAATGCCCATCCTGGGTCATCCCCATTCTCGGCATCTCGATGTCGGTTTCCTGGGGTCTGCGAGTGGCTGCAAGCGGTTACGCCCAAACTAGCGCCCAGCGAATCAAAACCATAGCGCATTGCAAGATGAGTCGTGCTTCTGCACAGGCCACATCAAACATGTGAAGTCGAAAAGCCACGACCCACAACGAATGGACGGCACCGCTCGTCTGGGTGAAGTCTTCCTGCTTCCGCGGAACGCTAAGCGTCCCCGACCACGGCAGAAAGCTCGTGTTCGAAGAGTAGATCAATGATTTGTAGATCACGTGTTATATCACGAGATCTGCGTGGCACAGATTGTGACGTTCGACGTGATTTGGATGCTAGAAGAGAACCGAACGGTGCGCGGCATAGAATCGAAAGGCTCGTTGCTGGAGGGAGTTTACAATGTGGTTTGACAACTTAGACGATTGGGATGGCTTATGTAAATGCCGAATCGATGTCGTTCGGCCGTCTGATCGGTTTTCGGCTCCGAATCTAGATGCCTGGTCAAAGCTTCTTATCCGATAAGATTGTGACTTAGATTTCAGCCCGCCGCATATTTTCATTGCCATTAATCCTTCGCCGGACTGACACCGTCGACAAACCACATCGGACCCCGCGCAAACGTCGACGACGACGACGAAGCATTGAAGCCCGGACTTATCATGCTGGAAGATATCGATAATGCAGGACGGGCTTAAGGACACCGCCGCGGGTATTCGAGGCGACAAGAAGAGAAAACTACCCATCATGGTCGAGTCGGAGGACCAGAAGAAGAAGAACAAGCCGTCTCCGGCCGGTTCTGGAACGCCCGCACCTCACGACGCCCTCCTTGCCGAGCTTAAAACCAAGTACGACATCTTGCCCGCCTTCACCATCTCCTCGACAAAGATTCACAAGCGTGTGACCTGGTTGCTGCTGCACCTGCGCAAGAACGACGGGGACGCGAGGAAACGGGCGGTGCTCCTGTACGCCAGGCCCGGCGAGGTGGGAAAGATGATCACCATCTCGGAGCAGGTGAAGCGCATCGTGGCGGAAGAGGACGGAGGTCGGTGGTACCAGTACAACAAGATGTACGAGCTGCCGCCCAAGGCTGAGGTCGTGGAGGAGACTATGCTCGACGGCGGGGGAGCAGGCAACGACACGGACGACGACGACGACTTCGAGGTCATGGAGAGCCGGTTCGAGAAGGCGGTGATGCCGCAGCCGAAGAAAGGAACTCCGAAGTCACTCAGCATCTTCCTCTCCCTAGAGCCCATGCCTGAGCTGAAGGCCCAGGAGGGCGTCACGCAGCAAACCAATGAGACGTAGGGAGGTCAGGCAGCAGCCACCGACGCATAAATACACCAGGAACCAAAAGGCGGGAGACCAGGTGGCAGAAGAGGTTTCCACAGCGGTCGAGAGGCTGCTAGAAGCTGGGCGGCACCATGTACATCATTGCATCTTTGGGCGTTAGGACAGAGAAAAGGGACATTCACGGTTTGATACCCAAGTCAGAGGAATTGCAGACAGACGCAAGATACGAAAAAAGAGAATATTTTGCTAGATAATTACACAGCGCTGGAACGGACTGATGCACTCTCCTGGTACCTGTACTCCATGGTCACAATGCACTTTTTTTTACCTGTCTGCTCGCGCAGACTTTGACATCGTTCACTTTACGCGAGCAACACAGATGTTCCCTCAACTCCGAAGCAATCACACTCGTCGAGGTGCAGAAGCGAGCGCTCCAACGTCTGCTACCCTCCTGGCCTACATTGGCTCGTCGTAATCACCACTCACGCGACTCAGCAACGACACCCTGGGCCTGTCGATACGAAGCATCCCCCCTTTTGTTTTTCAACGTTTTGCTTTCCGCAACGGCTGGTCGTGCTTAGTGCTTCGACTCCTTGGAGGAGTAGGTTATGCGCAGGACGAAGTTGACGACGACGGCCAGCAGCAGGATGATGGCCAGGAAGGTAGGGCCGAAGCGGTCGTCGAAGCCCGCCTGGCCGCGCACGCGGATCGACTTGGCGCGCCAGTGATACGTCGCCAGGGCGTAGATCATGGTCAGCATCGCGACGCCCGTGAAGAGGAAGGCGCTGATGAAGGCGGGGCGGTCGCCGAAGTTGAGCATGCCGATGGCGAGGGCGCCGAGGATGACGGTGAAGTTGAGCCACGAGAGGAAGGTGCGCTCGTTGGCGAAGAAGACCTTGGGCTCGACGCGCGTCGGGAGGGCGATGCGCTTGCCTGGATCGAGGGCGGCGGTGGTTAGCTGGAGGTCACGACGATTGGGTCTTTCGCGGCGGTGGTATGCCCGAGAGGTAGGAATTGTGTTATAAGTGGACATACCCGGCGCAGTCTGGAGGAGAGGTTGGCTCGACATTTTGGAGGTTGTTGTGTCTGCTTTCCCCTAATTGAAGATCTTCTGGCAGCGATGCGTATCGCGATCGTACGAGGTGAAGTTGATTTTCGCGGCTCGACGTCGGCGAGGCTGGGCTGGTTTAGCGTGCGTTCGAGCTCGGACTCGGTGTTGGATAACAACGGCTTTTGTCGCTTGTGTTCGAGGCGCCCCGTATTCGTGTGACGAAAACAACGTCAATTGAGCCAAGCTTTTCGAAATTTCGTCTGAACCCAAGTACAAAGGTCTGTCGTTATCGGAGATTGAGAGTTCAATGAATGGAATGTGAAGGTTTAAGAAAAAGAGAAGAAAAGAGCAGAGACCTGTAACCTAACCGAACCGAGAGAAAGAACCCGCTTGAAAGCTTGTTCGATGCGACGGAGACGCAACGCAGGAACCACGGCCCCTCTTGCCTCCCTTAAAGCTCCATCGCAGAACCTGTGACGCTTGGCCTGCCACGGCTAGAGCTCTCCACCAGCCACAGCTACGAGCCATGGATCACTGCTGCAGAAACCACACGTGCGGACCTCGAAGCTGGTGATTGGTTCAGCCACAAGCAGGGGCCATCTGCAAGCTGCGCTCTCTGCATGATGACTAACGATGGTGGCTAGAGTGCGTCGCACGTGACCCGTTGCCCCGCGCACCGGCCTGCGGCAGCTGCGCCAGACCGGACGGCCCGTGTTGCGACGCGAGGCGCTTGCATCGGGCTGCGCATCACAACACGGGACGCCTTAACTTTTTGTGGAGGAGCCTCATCTTTCGCCTTATTCCGCAACTGACAACACCACCGCATCCACATCTACACCGGTAAACACCGCACCACCAGACTGAAAAACTTGGCCGTCTCAAGCAACGCTGACATCGACACAAGTGACTTCCAATCATCACGAAATTTCCGTCAATAGTCTCACCGATTTCCCGGAATCAACAAAACATCCGATCACAATGTCTGCCGCACCCACGACCGCTACGCCCGTACGTTGGCTACCCCGCCGCATTGGCTTCCAATGTTGCATCTGGGAACTGTCACTGACTCTTGCCATCTAGCCTGTTGCGTTCAACCGCCTTAAGCAGATCGCTACCGATGTAAGCATTCGAGCAGCGCAACGAGCGCCTGCCTTACCGCCACTTGGGAATAGCAACAGTAACTGACACAATGGCCAGGCTTGCCAATCAGCAATTGGATCTGCGGAATTCTACGACCATGCGAAGACCGAGCAATGGAATAGTGCAATCATTGTAGGCTCCTTCCCCTCCTCCCAAGCCCCTTTTCGGGGACGATCCAGCCGAAATCTAACCACCATGGCAACAGTCCTCCGTCCTGAAGGCTGTCATCTCCGAGTCCACTCCCCAAGGCGGATCAGCCCCTGCCTATAAATTCGCTTGCAACTCTACGATCGTTCAGCACCTCGTTCCTACTTCTTCCCTGAACAAGTCCAAGGGCACCACCGCCAACTCCGAGGAGCCGCACATCTCCACGAGCGCCGAGACTACCGGTACCGACGGCAAGCCTCACGTCGGACGCCGCGGCATGCACAGCGCCACGGGTGCCTACTGGGATGAAAAGAAGGACGGCATGTGGTCCTATAAGTACGACGGCGGCGAGGGCAAGGGCATGGATGTCGTCATCATGCTCATCTGGGTCGCTATCTAAGCGGTGAATGTTCAGAGTCGACAGGCCTAAAAGAAGCGCAGGTCAGAGGCTCCAGGGCCAGAGACCGCTAAGGAGAAGGGCTCAGAGAGTGGTCCTGTGGCAAGCCGTCAACCTCTTCCCGAAAAGCAGGATCGTCCGCCCAGGGAAGACGGACTACGAGGCTCAAGAGCAGGTCGCCCGTCTAACGATAGGGGTTGAATGCGGCCAGGACGGATCATGCACGGTATATAAATTGGATGGCAAGCACGCCGGGAGGATGAAGCACGTCTGTTGGTAATGCATTTCGAAAAGTCGGTCATCGACGGCGAACGGAGGTCAATGTACGTCTATTCTATCGGATTTACAACAGCCGGAGTTTTGATGGTATACAAGAAACACGATAACATCATGAAGCTCTCTTCTGTGCCTCATTTCTCGTTCTTTACTATATTCCTCGGTTGCTGTGCTGGATTGTTTATTTGTTGTGGTCTTCACCGCCCGACGAATGAGGCGCATTGAATAATCTCGGTGTGCCATCCCTGCACAAGCGGAAATGCCATATAAAATGCGCCTTTCCATTCCCCCATCTGAGCCATAAGATCTAAGCCATGCCAATATCAACCCCAGTGGGAGGGTAGCAGCTCACGTGCTACGTACGCTTAGAGCGGCTGACTAGATTATGTCTCAATGAGATTGCTCAAAACTTGATGGTATCAGAGTTCTGCAGCATTAATGACCAGACGTCGTTCTGCAGCGTCCTTCAGCGTGGCTCTTCGTGAATGGACAATTGCGGTTGAGATGGGTCCCACAGATTGAAGTCCCCCATTTGTCGTATGTCATTGTGGCGACGTCAGTCCCCGTAACGCCCAAAAACCGCAGGACCCTGATGATCTTTTCTCTCAACCTCGCTCACTCGATTCGCACACCTCGATCTGACATCTTTGACATTTTTGCCAATCGGACTAGTTGGCGAAGAAGCGTCACTTCCCGGCCGGACAGCTCTGGATGAGCATACCGTAAGCTCAATACGGATGGGACGTCGTCACAGCGGATGGGCGCGAGTCGCAAAGTAGCTTAGGGCCATCCCACGGTTCGAGGCGCCTTAGACTTTGTGGTTGCAGTTACCCCCTCCAACTATTCAGGAAGACCCTGAGCGTTGGGACCGGCTTGTTAGTGGTGGTGGTTAGTAAGAGCAATACGATGTCCTGGTGCCGGTGCCGGCGCCGACATTGACGGCTTTCACACCCTCTTCGGAGAGAACGAAGAGCACCGACTCTCGAGATGGTTGTCGAAAACAAACGACGCCGAAAAAGTATCGGCGCAGAATGTTGATCTGATTGAACGGGATTGTGCTCTCCGGGACTTCTACGAGATCTCCCCGCCCGCATCAAGATTCAAGGCGCAAAAACGCGGCATGTGTGTGCCACATTTGATGCTGAGCGCCGCCGGAACCCTCACAGCTGCTGGAAACGGCAGTGAGGGGCGAGATCAGATCATGAGGTTACGCATATTTTCTTCGGTCCTGTGCTGGCCTGATCGGTGTGCGCCGATGGAGGGAACGTGGCCTGGGAAGGATGCGCCAGATCAGATCAGCGAAATAGGCGGCGTTTCCACCATCCGAGAAGGCAGCCCAGGGCAGAAGTTCGTCCACGTTTCTTCCAAGGTCAAGCTTCGTTGACTTGTGGTTCCCGGCCGCCCGTTGGAAGCTCCTCCGGAGTTGGACCCTCTTTGCAGGGCCGGTGACGTGCCGTGGGGCATCGTCATATCGTGAACGGCCGTCGAGCCGATGCGCGTGGAAAAGCTGGGGTAGGAGATTTCGCTGCGATTTTCCATAGCGGAGATTGGGGTAGACTGGAGAATCCCTTGGATGAGGCAGGCAACGATAGGTCACGATTGGAATGGAAGAGAAGCGCCACCGCTTCTGTGGTCCCCCCACACGTTGGGTGGTATTCACGGATGGTGCAGCTGTACGACCAGTGCACCACAGAGCATGACGCTGTCGATCCCGTGGAAGGCAGCGCCCTGTTTTCCGCCGTCTGGTGTTGCTATGCCCCAACGCCATCCTCTGTCTATGGCACGCCAATGGGCGAATGTATGCTTGGTGCGGTGATATGATAGCTGAGAGCTGTGTAACGATGGTAGCCTTACTGGCATGTTTTTGGAGGTCATGAGACCATGTTTCCCAGGATGAGACCTGTCTTGCTTCCCCGCGTTACAACAACAGCGGCCTGGCTGGGGTGCTGAGCTCTGATTTGCTTCGGCTCTGCATGCCCGAGTTCATGATCTAGCCCTTGGTGGTTGCAAGAATCATCATTCTCGACAGATACAGCGCCTTGAAAATTAGACCTGCGTTGGGCGGTGACAGGAGATCAGATCAGTCGAGGGCGCCAACCGGATGTCTGACAGACGGTGTGGCATCCCCTGTTGGGTTGCAATGGACGAAGGAAGGGAAGATGGGAGAATCTCTGGTCTTTGCTGCAATTAGACTCTGGTGGAAGTCTGCGGGCCGCCGTTAGCAATCGTGTGGGTGTTGATGCTTCTATCGCATCGATAACGGTGTTTCCATGCGTTGTAGCTGCATGCCATTGATGTCTGGCCAGTTCCAGAACACCAAGCAGACGACACAAGACCTATCACAGCATGCCAGGCCTCAAACCACCCTGTCGTGTCGCGCATCTCACCCGCCAGGCGCTGCTTGGTCGGCAGAAAAGAAAGGTGGTTTGAGAGGGAAACGAGGGGTGATGGAGGGCATGATCTGAAAACAGAGAGTCGATTCGTCGACGGACAGGCGTGGCTTGCGTCGATATCAGTTGTGTCGAGTGTGAGGTGGTGAGAAAGTCGCATGTCTCTCGTTCTTCCGACGCGCCGAGCGTTGTTCTCGGATCTGTCGATTCGCAGAGTTGGTGCTGCGGAACTGCCCTACAGCACAGCACGTTGCTTGCTGTCCTTCGTCGGTGACCGCCACCGGTTGGTACACCCTCACCTTCCTGTCTGCGAGACCCTATGACGAAAGTAGCCGGCCAAGTACCGGTACCTCTCGAGGTTTGCGCCGTCGCTGAGAATCCGTCCGTTCGCCGTCACCTCGTACCTCAGCGGCGTACCTTACCTCACCCATGGGTGGACTTGTGGAGGACAGAGGCAAGTCAAAGACCCTCCAGCAGGCCCTGTCTGCGTGTCTGCGCAAGCTGAGTGGCTCGAGGGGCGATTTGGTCGGTTACAGAGCTGGAGTCCGGTGTCAGCTATCTCCATCTTCTCCAGTGTTTTTCTGCGAGGATTGTCGACATTATTGCTCAATGTGTTATTGGACGTTATGCTCCATGATTCGCGCGAGGATGCCAATGACCGAATTCCCCATTTTTCGAGCTGCCATGAGATGAAGGGGCCAGTCACCGAGGGAAACAGAGAAAAAAGACGTTCGGAAGAGTGCTGCAGCTGCAAGAGAGCAGTGCGAGGCGAGGACCCCCAGGCCGGGAATACCTAGCGCCAGCTTCAGCCAAATGTCCAGCAATAGCAGTCGTGCCTCGCGCTACCCGCTAGGTTATCAGGGGAGGCACTGGAAGGCGCTAGGCCGAGGGGGCCACTTTACTGCCGTACTTGGCAACTATGGCGTAGTGCCTGCAGCTCGCAGCGTTGCCAGTGACACTCTGGACCCCCAATCCCCACCGCTAATCTGGCCTACCATTACTCACTGGTGCCCTGCTTGCGCTCTCTTGGCCTGACTAGTCCCCAGCAGCGCATCCTTTTCCCTCGCGGCCATGTCCCGGTACCTGTGACTTCACGCTCTTCCTTTCGCGCGCCGGTCGGTCAAAGGTCCAGTCCAGTCTTTGCTCCATCACACCACTACCACCGCTACCGCGACCGCACACCCTCTTTTCCTCCCAGGGCTTCCCGTCTCTTCTTCTTCCTTAAAAGAACACACAACTGATCAGCACCCGACTTTGCCTCTTCAGGGTCCTGTCACTCTGCCTTTGACGTACCCTTAAATATCTAACGAACCTCGCCCGGCCCCGTCTTCAACGGTTCATACGCAACTCATGAACTTGCTATTGAGGCAATCCGGCTTACCAACTACATCACTCTACGACATTGGCCCGCCCAGCCTCAACATCGATATCACCTGAACCGAAACAGCTCGCCAGTACCCAGGGAGTCCGAGAACATAGGTCCCCCTCAGCCTGAGCACAACGACAAAGATCCCACGAACCTTTACCCGACGACCACTTCGTTCCCCTCACCTCATAGGTGAATTCATCCGCCTTCGAGAACGACCCCTCTCGCATCACGAGACCACCGACCTTCAACGCGGTTGGTCGCTGCCAACCCCTCACATTACCATCCAAGCCATCGTCGAATAGTTGCCCACTTCGGGCCGTCGGCGACACCTCATCCTCTCTTCCGTTGTTACACAGAGCCCTTTCACAATGGTCGAAGTCCTGTCCCCAGGCCCCGGCCAAAATGGCCACGCCGCTCCCACTCACGACGACAACGTCGCTTCCCTGGCCCGTATGATTCTTGCCAGCAGCATTGCATCTAACCAGGAGGACAAGATGATGAGCCGCGAAGAGCGCCATGCCATGATGAAGGAGATCAGCCAGCACCAGGCCATCAAGGACGAGCTTCACAAGAAGCGCGGCGGCTGGCGCACTCCCCGTCGCGGTTGGTCCATTACCGACTCACCCGTTGCCTCGTCGCAGGGCAGTCCTGCGCCCAACGCTTCGCCCTACCCTGCTCCTCCTATGGAGTCGCAGACATCTACTACATCCAACTCAAGCTCCATCTCCTCTGTTCCCGAGCAGGGCGAGCTTCCAGCAACAGAGATGAAGAATGCGCCGCATCCTCCCCAGGTTCGCCGGCCTCCTCTTCCGCCCCCACGCCGCTCCTACTCGGTCATGGAGTACGAGCCGCCACCACGCACCCACCGGCCCTCGGCTCGTATGGATATCTTTGATCTTCCCATTGAGCTTCACTACACCATTATGGACTATCTCGATCCTATGGATAGTGCATGCTTGGGCCTGACCAACAGCCACTTCTACGATATCCACCGTCGCATGCACGGCAGTGTTCCATTGTCGTCCCACCGTGACGGACCCAACGACTTGGAGTGGGCTTTCTACCTCGCCAGTCGCCGCGTCCCGCAGTCCAGCTCGGGAACTTCCACACCCACTACTGAGGGTCACAGCCAACTTCACCCTCTTGAGGGCATGCGCCTGAAGGGGCAGGTCTACTGCCGCAAGTGTGGTCACTACCGCTGCCAGCTGTACCGCCACTTGCGCGAGTGGATGGGTCCTGACAGGGAATACTGCGAGGTCACCAAGAAGTACGGCCGCCGTGCTCCCGAGGATGCGGCCGACCATTGCTCCATCAAGTCGCCGAAGCACCCTCATCGTTGCGGACGTCATTCCGCAAAGCCTACCCAGCCTCCCGCCAAATAATTGGCGGGTTTTGTATCATATACCACCGGCGGCCATGAGGAGCCGTCGGGTTTGCAGCGAGGAGTTAAGACTACAAGAGAAAAAGAAAAGCGAGATCTGTATAGTTCATCGGGACGGCGTTCGTTGACTGGTTACATTGAGACGAGGAAAGAAGCTTTAGGTTTGGGTTGCATCAAGTCACCGAGAATCTGCAATTGGCTACAGAATACCTAAGATGAGATGGGAAACCATCAGACCGACACACGCACAGCAGCTGGGTCAGCAAAGAGATGAGCTATCTATCATGAGCATAGACTGCCATAGAACATACAATATCGAGCATTACCATTCTGTTCATAAACCATGCATCGCAATTTTCTTCGTCCCTGGATCTTGGAGCGGTGAGGTCCGGGCGATGACGTAGTGCTGACACGGATAGATTGCGGACCCTTTCGGGACGTTTCGCGTTGAAGATAACCATGCCCTGAATCATTGTTTATCTCTGCCCGAAAACGAACCTCATTCGCCAGAGAAGATCAGCTATGGGTCTTTTGTTCGGTGCTGAAAATAGGTTTTGGCGTTCTGGGGCCACGCATTTTGACTACAGTCTTGAGTGTGTAGGTCCAGCACTCAGTGTGCTGTGTTGCTTCTTGATGTATCAGGCATTGCCAAAGTTGGTACGTGAATCGGCCTGGAGCCCAAAACCACCATGAGAGGAGACAATGTCTTTTGCTGCTTATATGCAAGGGACCGACTGGTTTTCCTACGTCTTCGCGGCTGTGTTTCCTATGTACTTAATTACCGCTATCGAAGACGATAGTAGTAATAGCAATAGCGATAAAGACGACGACGACGACGACAGTGATAACGACAACGATAGTAACGATGACGGTAATAATAACGACAACAGTAATAGTAATGATGACGTTGAAAAAAAACGACAACAGTACGACGACAACGACGAGAACGACAATAGCGATAATAAAAGCGCCGACGGGAACAGTAAAGTAGAATATAGCTATAGGAAGAGTAGTCGCTCCAGCATAGGAAAGATAGGCGGTCTCTTATACAAGTGCTCGGTGCAGTTCAGATGATGAGTGCCTGTACCAAGACAAACAACATCGTGACTACAAGTCTCCCCTCAACGACACAACTCATTCTCCCCAGGCTTATACGTCTCCCGCTATGATGTCCATACATAAACAGCAGTGCCGCCGCTGAGCATCCAAAGCCCCGCCTGCAAAACCCGGCGAAAGTCGAAACGCTCCGGCACAGGTGTGGCGTCCATCTTGGCCATCCAATCGTCGATTCTATCGTCCCAGTAGTACACACGATTATGCAGGCGTTGAAGCTTATTCAGCACCCTGTCAATCGCGTCGTGACTGTTTCGAATCTCGATGTGTTGCTGCTTGAAGCCGTCGAGTATCTTTTGCTTGTCTGCGTTGAAGGCGGCCTCATAGGCCTTGAGGGCGCTGTACACGACGACGGGGTGCGCTTCGCTCTTTTGGAGGTTGTTCATCATCGTGTCAAGCTCCGCTGCGGTGGGGGCGGCTGGGACGAGGTAAGAATCGTTGGCTGGCCTTTGGACGTTGGCGGGAGAGATCGGGGTTGCATGGATGCCTCGTGAGGTGATGATGGACTGGGTGCGAGGCGGGAGTGTGACGGGTCGGGTGACCCTCGAGATGAGTTGGCGGGCTAACTACAGAGTTGTCAGATACATATCTCGGTGGGCAAGGAGATGGCTGTACCATATTGGGTGAATTATAAGAGGTCACCATGTGATATGTTCGCGAATTCGGAAGCGGCAGGTGTGCCATAGAGTGAAGTCTACAGGGGCTTTTGAAATATGGTGTGTGTTTCAACCTCAGGTAATGGGTCAGATACCTAAACAACCTTTGTGGTAGCCATCAAGTGACCCATGGGGCACCACGGTAAAGTCGGATTTTCTTGATTCATTCGTCCATACGCTGGGCCTTTTTCCCGTCAACTTATTTCACTGTCCTGATAGGCCGTACAGGTTCAGCTTGGGTTACGAATGAGTGCTTACACGAGTTCATGTGAGCGCGGTCGTTATTTCTCACTTGGTTTCCAATTGGAGATAATCATCTTGTTTTTCTTAGCATGCAACTACGATTGAGCTTCTACTGTAGACACTTAGTCTACTAAAATCTCATGAAGTGTCACAGTACAACGTCAACGAGCCGTGCTTGATCATGAGTATGATTTGATAAAAAACTAGCCGCTTCTCTTTTTCTATTCTTTTACTGCGCTCAAAGGAGCATCCCACTGCAGCGACATCCGAAACACTTAGTCCTCCTTATGAAGATGACGCTTGTAGACTACATATCATCGACGATATCCCCCCGCTGCGGTACGAGTATCTGTCTCGTCATGTGGCAAGCGTGTATTGGCGGCTAATGATGTCCTGCTACATCGAAATTCCTGGTAGGTCTGTGTCTAGGATGCGAGCCATACTTGCAGACCAATTCCTATGCCGATATGAGTATAGGCCTATCGACTTAACGGTGCGCTTTCTCGGGGTCAACAAACCTATCACTGCCCAAAATACCGGATGCGAGAGAAATTGGCCTCGTCGAGCAGTTTCTGACAACAGTTCTTCACCAGCCACAATGAGTTGTTGAAACTCACTTGGTTCTCTGACCAAGGAATCCTCAAAGCCTGGGAAACCCTCTCCGTATTGTAGATCCTTTTCTCCCAGGGATCCGTCCGCTGCATCATGTTGTGGTTTCAGGTCATCCTTTAAAAGTGACATTTCATCTTCGATCTTTGTGTCTTCGTCTCTGAGTTAGTCATTCAAGAGCTGCAACAGAGGTTGTTTGTTTTGGCCGGCTTGCCGTGGTGTGTTGACGACTGTTCAAGGCGGAAGAGAGAAAGACGGTAAGCTGTCCGCGGTGCCAACGTGTAAATAATTGCGGGACAACCAGGCAGCAAATCAGATGGAGCTCTTCATCGGCCGGGACAAGCATATGCAGTACAACCGAAAGGACCCCAGTTGAAATACGCTCCGCCAATGACGCTGTTCTGACTGGCTTGGCTCTGCATGGAGAAGCAGGCTGGGATGGATGCCAGCGACCCACACCCAGGCCAACGACCGCTTACGTCCAACCCCGGAAGGCACAAACAATGACCGATATAATTGCCGTCGGAAAGTATGGTTAAATATATAAGGACCAGTCAACAAGGTTTTGATCGAGATGTTGGAAGACGGGCTATTTTAGGTGTGAAACGATGACTGGAGAAATGGTCAGCGGCCGGCGGAAAGATGGTCAGCATCGTGAGATTTGTGCACATCGAGCTCTTTGGAACGACAATTCACAGAAGACTCTATTAGGTAACGACTGGGGGAAAAAGAGGATAGTGGCGTTCTTGCAGGCGAAATAGCCGAGAAAAATAAGTTAGAGTCTTGCCATCCGGGCGGATGACTATTGTATTAGGACGCATAGTTCATTTAATACAAATATCTATTGACCCTATCGTTCCTGGTGTCCCTGTTGCTAGTGCTCTCTCTATCTTCCCTGTCGTCTCTGTCGTCCCTACTGTCTCTATCGTCCATGATGTCTCTATCTTCCTTGTCCCTGTCTTTGTCGCTGTCGTCATCTTTGTTACCCCTATTGTCGTTTATGCCTACTACCCGTCTGAACAGCAAAACTCATTACTTATACCGAAACAGCGGCAATTATTAGGCATGACTGGGTGTATCTTCAGCCCTCACAACAGCCTATGCACTTTGAAATAATGGGTCAAATAGGGAAAGAAGAATAGTCAGTCACTACTTGACGAAGATAGTCGAAGGTAATAGATATGAAAGACGGGGGTGACTCACATATTTCCCCGTCAGGGTCATACGAAAGTCGAGAACGTGTGTCCGCAGGCAGTATCTTGCCACACGAAAGTATAAGAAAGAAGCCAGAAGGCATAAAGCGGGCCAACACCCACGTCAAGGCTCTCAAAGCCACGCCGCCCGGTCCTCTGACCCAGCCCTGTATCAGAGACGGATGAGTAAGAGCAAGACATAGAATGGCGCTGAATGCAGATATACCAGTGACGGCATGTTTAATTCTGTTCCCCAGAAGAGAGCTCTGCAGAATGGCTCGAAGCGTACCAGACATGCGCTATGTCCCCGGCCGCCGCTTCGCAAATCAACTTTCGATTGTAGCCTAAGATTTCTTCATAGACTGGACTCATTTCCAATAACCTGTGGGCTATTCAGTCAAGTTCTAATATTATTTCCTGACTTGAGTTTAGGAATGTGGGGGGCGGGTACCGCTGCGGTCTTTGCCTTGCTGATTGAGGCGTGCTCATAGACGGTAAGAAAGCACAAAAAACTCCACAGAAGGGGAAGCAGATATTTAAATACCTTCAAACCATTTGATTGCAGCTTGGCTCCTTCAACCGTTCAACGTCACACATTCACACATTCGTTTGATAAAACAGATCAACAACTCGATTCTACAACACATGAATTATTATCTACGCCAGGCCGAGTCTCTTGAGGTATCTTCCTGATTCGAGTTTCCTTTATTCGATGATTTGCTGCCCAACAGCTCATCCTCCAGTGCCTTCATTCATTCCTCATGGCTGGGTCGATTCAGCCCGCTCCGATGCCTGGCTCCAAGCTCCATGCTACTTCACCGACATACGTCCCGGCCTGGAGTTCTCTACCACCGGAACTGCGGCATATGATACTTGAAGTTCTCGCACGACAAACTTCTGGTTGGGGCGCCTGCGCTTCTGTTTGTCGGGAGTGGCAGGCTACACTGGAGAAGGAAAGTTTTCGCCGGCTAAAACTACAAACATCATGCTTGGATGATATGGAGACGATGGTTGGTATGAGGCGCGCACAGCTCGTTCGACGTTTATGGCTAAACATCGACCTGAGGCCGTACACATGTCGAAGTTGTACGAACCTTGAAAGTGGTTCATGGCATGATAGCAACATTCGTGTGGTTCGCAGAGCAATCGTGAAGCTTTTCTCCATCCTGTCGCAATGGCCCGTAACA